ACGTTGGCATTCGCGTCACTTTAGAGAATTCTCAGCTTCCTGTTCACCTATCGCATTGCTCTATCTCTTAGAAGAGTCATGGGGATTAGGCCATGGGCAAGTGTCTGGTAACCAGTATGTATGCAGCTCCCCAAGTATTCTCATTCCGCAACGTAGAATGCGATGTAGCGTCTTTCAACTTTCGGACCAACTAAACCTCGAGATGGCATCAACTGAGATTCGGGCAAATTCCGTTTGCAAAAGTCCATTGTTGGCTGAATCAATTAGAGCAGTACTGAGAATGGCATCCTCCTGCTACTTTCCTAGCCGACTATCTCTAGGATTCGCGAAGGCATCCGTAACACTTTTGTTCAAGGGATCCGCCTTGGGTACGGATTGCTAGCCAGAGAAACTAGTTGTGCCATACTTTTGAGGAGACAATAAGCCCCTGATGAATAGCCATTGATGCCAGATAAATCAGAACCCTCTTTCATTACTCTGCCTCGTAGAAGCAGAGGGGCCATAAACGTTTTGGGGAACCTTAACGCAACACAAAAGCCTTTCAATTCATGCGCCGCCGAGATTGTCGAGGAAAACTGCGTCTCTCTGTTTTATTGTGCGGGTCAAGAACAAGGCTCATCGAGATTGTCTATCCTAAAAAAGAAATGTACATCCTTTCGGTTTCCCCAGATGTTCGCCAGAGTTCAGATCCCGTTGAACATGATCTACCTCCCGGGCGGTTCTCGTGGAGAAACGCGGAGAAAATGATGCCACAACAGTCGTGTATTAGCCACACCTCTATCTCCTTTAAAGACACGCCATGTCGCCCAAATTCGCGACAACATCATCGCATATGCACTATGCTCCTTCGACAAATTGCACAAATTACTATACAAGCCCCTTATTTTTTTCCACTGCATAGCGAATGCAAACGGGACCCGGGGATGAATATATCACTTAGCAAGCTCCTAGTGCCCCAGAGAGATGGCGGCTGAATCGACGAGACTACAAAAACGGCGGATTGAGGGTAACTATGGGCATAGACGCGTTGTGGCACGAATATGTAGTTGAGTAGGTAGTTGAAGTCTTAGTCTAGTTACGGTATGTGCTGTATAAGATCAATGAGCCCGGTGTATAGAAAAATCATCCGTGTGACCAGTTGGGCTGGAGATAGAAGTGGTGACGGCAAGGTGTGAGCGACGTCTCGGTAGGTAAGAAATGCTTGAGTTTCTAGTCAGAAATTTCCCCTGATAATATTTTCCAGCTCTAACCTAGTAACGATCATTAAATGGGATCTAGACATTCCGATGACAGTCACAAAAGTATGAACAATATTCCCCTGATAATCTATTTGTCGTGTGTCGAAGAGGCGGCACTGTTCATGATGCCTGCAACGCAAGAAATCATAGAGAATAAGGCTGGGCGTCTATTCGTGCTTGGGTTTCGAGATTGATGGCATTGGCCCTTATCGAGGACCCCCAAAAAGAACTTCCCATCCACTAGAGATACCCGTCCGTAATTATATTTCAGTCACGGCTCGAGATAGTTTGGTGTTGTTGAGAAATGAAGCTTGTCTGCCAACAATCTCGCCGTTAGTTTCATGCCCCAAGCAAGACAGGTCCGTTGTGGGAAGGACGAAGGCTATCTAGCACCAGGGTACGCTACAATTAGCTGCGGATCAGTGATCTGCGACAACTAGGTCCCTAGTCAACGACTGCGGCTCCGAGGTGGGTCTTTTGCGGTTCCCCCAGGGCATGAGGCTTGAGGCTAAGCCTGCTAGAGAAGCGATCTCAGGGCTGACAGTGTTTGACATGCAAATCCAAGGCGTGGCCTGCTGATGGTTGTGCTTCGAGATCAACTGGAAGCTCGGGGCACATGGCAATAAGGCGGGTCAGGTGTGGGCAAAGGCGTCCGTTAATGAGGTTCGACTCAGCTCGTGTGAGCAACCCCCAAGCCAGCCGATGATCTCCTCTTCACCTAACACAGAGTTACACCAGAGGCGTCCACCGCGGTGAGTGTACTGTATACCGCAATTTCTTGGTATTTAGTTGGTCCCAGCTTTGCGGAGCTTTCAATTTGTTAACCTCCCCCTTACTTGGGTTCTCTTACCTGTGCCGCTGTTGTATTGTTCTAATATCTACATTTATGGGTCAGAATAGCTGGATCTGCGTATGCGTGTTTCTTAGCTGAGTCAGGAGCGTTACGAGAAAACGTGCGAACTAAAGAGGCTTAAGAGCTCGCCACATCTCTCATCCGGTTCACATCAGTTACCCCAGAGTTCCCCGGGGGGATGCTGGGATGGCCAGGCTTATAATGCTAGCACATACAGCATCATGACCAGTTCATCTCACGATCATATCTGGGGTTATCGTGGATCTTGGGTGAACTGAAGGGTCCATCCACGATCATCGTAAACATATGCCGTTGTGGCATCACCCTGTACACGATATGTCTCGTGAGATGCCCAGAGACCGGAGACATGATAGGGGTGCATGGGGTGGTTAATAAGTGCCTGTTTACTAGTCAAAACGGGAGCCGCTCTGCTTCTGCGGCTCCGTATGCCAGCAGCCAGTTGGCTTGGACCTATTTACAAAAATTGTCAACTCAACCAAGCTAGTGAGCGCTATGCCCCAGCACTAATATCAACCTCGTGGCTCAGCGGCATCGCAAAGGAGAAGCATTGGCCCGTAGTAAGCCATGCGTGTTAAAGAAACTATTACAGGCTTTGTTACCAACGGAGGCTGCGATGAGGTGAAGAAAAACTCCATGATCGAAAGGGATGTCGATACACCAGGAAGTGACTTGGAGAGTTGACCATGTTCCGTCGGAGCCACAGTCTGTAGGCCAAATGTATCAGAAGAGATAAATGGAATATGTTTACTAAAATTTAAATCGAGGTGCTGCCACAAAATACTCTACCTATATTCATCGCGGACAGAGAGTCAATGAAATGCCTGTTAATCTGGGGTAAAGGACCCAGACCATAGCAACTATAACTAATTGGACAAGAAGCGGCCAGTGCCGGGTGGGTGTGATGCCATGGGCTGTTGTGAACATGTTGGAGTGTTCTAGAGTTTTGCGAGTGGTGCCATTTTCTTCCCCCCAGCCAAGGGCCACCATTGGCTGAGCGAAGAATACCTGAAGCTGAGAATGACCTCTGTATCCAGTGTTCACTTGTTCAGGTCACATTTGGGGACTTCTCTTGACGGAGCTTCATTGATCTTTACTTTTTTTTTTTTAAATATTCGTCTCCCAGTGCTGAAGAAGTCAGGGTCAAAGATTGTATATCCTTTGGCAGTTGATAAGAGCTAGAATCGCCGATATGTTAATAGCCACTAAACAGAGCATAAGTGGCAATCGGGACCATGGATAGAGCCAAGAGATAATCAGAGGAATATGCCCTTGAAAGAAACCTTTTGTTTTCCCCCTTCTTGGCAGGGCACTTAAAGCCCTGCAGTTTCTGTGTTAGGAGCTGTGTAAGAGAATGCATATCAGACTCAGATTACAGCCGACGCTTGTAGACAAAACGAATACAACATATCGCAACTCAATATTGGGTACTGCATTGTGAATAGCACATTAATGTGTCTGTCTTTCCGATTCTTCTTCATATTTCCTCTATTGCATGTCCTTGTGTCCTAATCTTTTATGGCCGTTGACAACTCTAGCAAAGGAAAAGTCTCTTGATCTCTTAACACTTTCGGCTCTCAAGTCTTCTGGCATGTAAGAAGGGGCATGCCTGCTAATGAATTTAGCTGAGTCGAGTTAAGTTGTATCGATGTTTCTTCATTTGTAGTATCAATTGCACAAGCCCACGTTTTCTTACACACCCCCCCACCATAACGGATTGGATGTCATCACGCACGCCCCCAAGCACAGCATCTCACTCAGTCACAAAATAGGTAGTGCTAAATGGCCGCGCTGCGGCTGTATGTACTCCATGTACCTCTCAGCTTAACTCGTTAGCGCATAGCATCTCGCAGAGTGGTGAGGTGAGCAAGTTGAATCGAGTCAACATATTTTCCCCAGTGGGAGCCGCTCATGGTCTCGCACTGTAACAGATAGGGCTTCGTTTGGATTTGCTGTGTAGAGGGCATTGCCTTACCATCTGATTCTCGGCATTTGCACCTTTGCAGTACGGCAGACTCGATGGCATCCATTCCCTCCCCTCCCCGGGCATGTCCCTGGTCCCTGAAAAATGAAGTGGCATTATAAAGTCGTGCACTGTATCCATCGTCATGATGCACGCCTGCCCAGGCCCATGGACCGGGACTGGCATCGGCGTTGACATTGGGATCAAGGATGCCAAGAGCACGCCCCCATCCCCAGATTTCTCATGGTACCCTCTCAAGTTCGTTCGTTCATTGTTGAAGACCAGGTTAATCGAGAACAAGCATGGCACTGACTGGCCTCTCCACTGTCCCTGGGCCTCCCCCAGGATTTCCACTTCTTTCTCCACACCTCAAAGAGCCAACGACCGGGCCCATTCCCATTTCCTCGTTTTCTACTAAATCTTGCTCTTTCCCACCCTGAAGAATCTGGATCCTCTCATCTTTCCCACTTTTACGTTTGCATCTTTACCATTATTTCTCTATCTATCTCTATTCTTGTCCCCTGGACTCGTATATATATATATCAATCCTACTACCTCAACATTTCTCTTCAAGATACCCCATAGCAAACAAAAGCCTACCTATCTACCCGGCTACTTCACATTACCGCGTTCTTAAACCCCACCAACCAAGTCACTGAATCACAATACGCCTGTACTCACTAAGTCCCGGTGCTAAAATCACTCGACAAGACCTCGGCTATGACCATTCAACATTTCGGAATTTGACCGTTTCAAGAACACAGGACAACACCGTATATAAGGAACACTGCAATAAACGAGCAACCCTGGCACCCACATCACCGACCAGTCTCCTCACTTCGGCAATTTAGCCGTTTGTTCCACCCAGGTCCCATCAACTCAACGACTCAAACCCTTCACCTACCTACACAGAACAACTACCGCTAAGATGCCCGGAATTCTCCCTATGAAGGTGATCAAGGTGGGCACCAGCTCTCAGAGTCGGATTGCACAGGCTTGTGATCGTTGCAGAAGCAAAAAGATTCGGTGTGATGGAATACGGCCAACATGTTCTCAATGTGCTAACGTCGGCTTTGAATGCCGGACAAGCGACAAGCTTAGCCGCCGCGCATTCCCTCGTGGCTACACCGAATCTTTGGAGGAGCGCGTGCGACAATTAGAAAGCGAAGTCCGAGAACTCAAGGACTTGTTAGATGAGAAGGACGAGAAGATAGATGTGCTCTCGAAAATTCACGGCAACCGATCAAGTCCTACAATGCCGGCGAGCAGCCCAGCTGTACCCGAGTCACGGAATGAAGCCATGGCCGCAAAAGAAGATACTTTCCGCGTGCAAGCTGCACCTCTATTACTTGGAGTCGAGAATTCTGATTCTTATTTTATGGGCGCGTCTAGCGGCAGAACATTTATTGGTACTTGTCTCCATCCTTTCCTATGAGTCAACGCAACTGACACTCTCGACAGAGTCTTTCAAGCGAAAATTTCAAGAAACCGGCAAACCTAGCACCGACTTCAACCCAGAGGCTTTCTTGCATATCCAAGGCTGCAAGCCCCTTGGTCCCAAATCGCCAGAGCAATCTTTTAGGCTTCCTCCTCGTCTCTTCTCTGACCGTTGTGTAAATGTTTACTTCCAGGAGTGGGCTCCTCTGTTCCCCATCCTCCACAAGCCCACATTCCTCCATGTCTACGAGGAATTCGTCGCCGATCCCGAGAAGATCAAAGGCAACCATAAGCTCGCGCAACTCTACCTCGTATTCAGCATCGCGGGTCTGTCATCAGAGAACCCTGACCTTCCCCAGCTTTCTGCATGTGAGCAGCAATGGCAAACCTCTTTGGATGCTATTCTCATGGAGGATACTATGAATACCTTACAGTGCCTGTCTCTCGCCCTCCTTTACTGCACTATGCGTGCAGACTATAAGCGATTGCAGCACTACAAGGGCATCGCTGTCGGCCTCTCTCATCGCCTAGGCCTGCACCAGAGTCAGAGGAGATTCTCCTTCGGTGCTCTCACAATTGAGACACGAAAGAAGGTCTTCTGGACTATTTACACTCTCGATTGCTTTTCTGCCGCTACTCTTGGCCTTCCTAAGCTTCTCAAAGAAGAGGATATCCAGACCGAGTATCCATGCGATACTGATGATGAGTATGTTACTGAACAGGGCTTCCAGCCTACGCTTCCTGGTGAATATACTCGCCTTTCGAGTGCACTAGCCTTGTTCCGTGCGACTCGCATCCTCGCCAAGGTGCTAGAGAAGAACTACCCCGCCTCAAGCTCCTACGAGATTTCGCTTCAACAGATGGCTGCTCTTGAGAGTGAGCTTGATGCTTGGTATGACCAGCTGCCTACCCATCTGCGACTGAACTTCGTCCAAGATAAGCCATCCACAGATGTGACTGGTAGCCGCTCACCATTGCTGGCACTGGCCTATTACTACATCCGAACACTTATCTATCGTCCGGCAGTAGGCTCCAGTTTGGGTTCCAAGGCGGCCTCGGCCCTGATGTCAATCGGAGCGTCGAGCAAGCACATCGTTCAGATTGTCCAGCTGCTTGAAGAACGCGGCATGACCTTCTCATTTTGTTTGAACAAGACGGATCTGCTGGTTGTTTGTGGCATGGCGCTGCTCTACCACTCGATTGATCTCAAGCAAGACAGCAAACTCATGCGCGATGACGAACGATTGGTAAATGCCGTTATTCATATCCTGGACAAGAGCGAGGGCTCTGGCTCACTGGACTTTAAGCGTGTGGCTAGCGTGCTGGTCAAAGTTGACGAATCCGCTGTCTCGCCAATGCACACTTCACGTGAGGTGTCGATGCCCCCCGCGCCCGTCTCCAACCGAGGGTCGCCACCAAGAGACATGGTTACCAAACCCAAGAAGAAGGGCAGGGCAGCCTGCCCCCTCGGTCAGCTCCCAGCCGCTGCAGCCAGCGAGAGCAATTTGATTGACCACCAGGAGAGGATGCGTCGCATGACGATGCCCTGTGTCGCCGACCAGCGACCCGAATTATACCGTGCTCGGGGCCGTCAATCATTTGACAATCTTCAGGCCGAGGTTCCCATGCTCCAGCGAGGACATCGCATGTCGATGTCCCCGAACCCAGACCGCAAGGCTTCCCCCCTGTCCCGCAATCTCGACTTCATGCCCTTTGCCCACTCATCGCAGTCACCACAGCCAACTTCACCACAACAGACACGTGCGCACTCCCATTCTGGTCCTACAAACCAGGCCCATCACATGATGGAGAGCTCTTCGGTTGCTGCCGCTAAGGTGAACGGGGTTTCAACGACTGAGTGGGAAACATTGCTTGGATCATTGGATGGTGGAATGAACAACGTATACGATGCTATCTATGGTGGGCAAGGACTTGTCAACGAGAGTGCCATTGCTGTTAGCAATTGTGGTGATTGGCCCCCGGACAATTGGGATCTCGGCGGGTTCAGCATCGCCGAGTTTGGAAACAACCCGCAGCCTCCCCAGAGTGTTCTCAGCATGAGTGACGAGAGCCTTAGCTCGGGTGAGGAGGTTGGCCCCTCGGAACTCGGACTGAGCGTGGAGAGCGTTGACTATCGCAACCACATGGTGACTCAACAACATGGTCATGAAGGATATATGATGCCCGACCATATGGAGACGTTCCCTATCTTGTAAGGGTGGTGGACAGAATGATACAACGGAAGAAAACCTCTGGATTTGGCACGGGTCTGACAACGGAGTTAATACTGGGGACATGAATTTTAACGATGTGATGAATGGGAGTCGGGCTGGGAATTAACTGTCGTTGAGTGTTTTTCTATTGAGCGATCTACTTTTATTGGCCAACTATTATACCTGGGAGGAGAAATTTGTCACAAACTTGGTATTTTGGAGTCTCTTATCCTCTACAGAGGAAACGTAGACGTGGAATAAGGATGATGGGCAGTTCAAGGACTGGCCTCGCAATACGGCATGCTAGACCATCTAGTTGTTAGTTCGTAACTTGCAAATGAATGAAAAGAACGCAGACAAACAAGCCCACTCGTCCAGCGGTTTAGAAACGCGATATGAGTAGTTGATTCGCTCGGGCCCGGTGTATTTATTTGTTGGCTTTCAACAGCAGGGGACCTTTTTTCGCAGCTGCCGGCTGCCGGCTGCCCGGTCTTGCAGGAAATGCAGTACGCAGGAATGAGAATCGACGCCTGCACAAGCCTCAAGGGAGGATTGGACCGGGTCTGACATGCGTTGCCGGTGTTGGAGAAGCCAAAGGACCCGGTCAGAGCAAGCAAGTACATGGGTTCTGGGGGAAATCGTCTTCGGGGAGCAAGAAAGCTTCTGGTATTGAATTGGGGTGCCAAAAACAAATAGGTGTACCCCTTGGCCTCAGGAGTCTGAACCGGATGGGCACAAGATTGGCTGTAGCCGGTGTGCCTCGGGAAACGACCCGGCCGTACATCCTATACGTCTTGCAGTTTCATCAAGTTGGTGCCAAATACTATGACATGGCTCAGGTTCTCCGTCCTTGTCTCTCATCAGAGTCAATCTTGACTCCCAGGCCTCCCTGGGTCAGATCAGATCAGATCATATCAAGCAAGCAAGCTTGACGATGGATCGACAGCGGGCTACGTTATATAGGTTGATGGCTGAGGATGCAGAGAGTCTGGACCATCCATCAGTCACCCGAGCCAATTGAAGAAGAAAGGCACACAGAAATGCTGTTCTGGCCAAAATACCTAACTATAGAGAGTCTAACTAGAGAGTCAAGGTGGAATCACATTGGAGTGAAGCTACCAAAGCGAAGCCAAGTGTGGCCGTGCACGATAGTACCTAGCAGAAATAGGTACAGTAGGTTACCTAGGTATGTAGCCTGTAGTAGCTACCTTATTTAGTATTTAGGGGCGGGATGACGTCTCCAGTTGAATCAACCTGTCACGACTCCCCATTCTGCTATCGTGTTTCTATCCGAGCAGTGGATCTGATGGAGAAAGCTCTGTTGACCATGGCCAACGAAAGCACATGAGTGCCCTGGTCTTAAGTCGTCTCCATACTCGAATCCATGACCTTGACTTTTCTAAGCAAGAAAGCGTGTGTTGGTCGATCTGTTTGGTCAGTTCAGCCATTCCATTGGCAGGGACCCTATTGCGCTGCTGCTAATCATCAACACTCATCAACTTGGCTTAATCGCCTTCCACAGACATCAACAATGGAGGCGGAGCGACAGTCTTTAATCAAGAACAACGCCCAACCAGGGCCCGTTCCTCGAGGTCAGATACGCCAACGAGAATACAAGCCGTTGCAACACCGCTAAATTCACTTCATCACAGCGCCATGGGCCGCCGCCAGACCGTCACCACGAGATCCTTCTCGGCGACTCCCACAGGCGATTGCTCATCGCGGCGCAAAGCTTGATTGGCCCGAAAACACCATGGCCGCCTTCCGAGGTGCAGTCAAAGCTGGTGCTCATGCGATAGAGACAGATATTCATATCTCGGCCGATGGTGTTGCTGTGATATCACATGTAAGCTAAAGCTCCATGACATTACATGCATCACCACAACTTGTCTTACTTGCCTTGGCTCGGCTCGGCTGACATTTGAGCAGGACGCATCCCTTAAACGCTGCTTCGGCATTGAAGCTCGCATTGGAGAGTGCTCGTGGGAGTATCTCAGCACTCTACGCACAGAAGCCGAGCCTCATGAACCCATGCCGCGGCTCAAAGACTTTCTTCAGTGGTTGGTTCAGCCGGAAATGCAAGACATTTGGGTGGTTTTAGATATCAAGGTCTGCTGCATCAGCTCAAGCTCGAGCATGTGTCATCAGACGGAAGCTAATGCAGGCCTCCCAGCTGGATGATGACCCGGCAGAGCTGATGGCTGCACTTGCGAGGGATCTAGACGGCGTCCAGGCACCTGTGCCATGGGATCAACGTATTATTCTGGGATGCTGGAATGTAAGCTGACACGACACCCTTGGCACAGTTTCTGCGCTTTCACTTTCACTTTCACATAGACGCCTTGGTGATGTTGCAGCTGACATGCTTGAACAGGCATCATTCCTACAGGTTGCGCGTAGTCAACTCCCAACTTATCCGTTGGCCCATATCAGCACCTCCCTCTTATATTCACACCACTTTCTGCGTGTGCCCAACCTCGGCTTCAATCTCAACCAAAAGACTCTCATCGGTCCATCAGGAAGACTCTTCTTACGCGAACTTGGAAAGACTGACAAGCTTCTTATGACGTGGACAGTCAACGAACCTCGCCACATGGAATGGTGTATCCGTCAGAATCTGTGTCATCCACGGCGCCGCAATGGAAAAGTCGAGGGGCCTGCCTTGATAGATGGTGTCATCACTGACAATCCTCGTTTGTACCTCGAGATGTGCGAAAATTTTGAGAACGAGATGGATGGCAAGCTCGCCAGACCAAAGCTAGCTCTCACTGAAAGGATAAGGAAAAAGGCAGAGATGGTAGCCGTCGTTATCCTGACGGAGACCTTGATGATGGCCTACCATGTTCTCAGAAGGATGCAGGGCAAGTTTGATTTCCTCCGAGACCGCCGGAGCCTGGATAAATAGTATACGCAACATGATGAGTGATAACAGACACTAATGGCCTAGGTAACGGTTGACTTTGAATACAGCAGCAAAACTTGGACAACTTGCTGGCTTTGTGGGCTACACCAGGCTTGCATTTGCCCATCACATTTGACAACCTTGGGTATTCACAATCAATATATGCGGTCATTCGTGCCATCACTGCTCTCCAAAGGGCAAGCCACCACCATATGCTGACATATTAACCACAACACAGCAACCGTTGGATCATCAGAATTATAGTGACTGTCCATCAAGGTCTACCTGGTCATGAATCCCTTTGAGCTCAAGTAAACTCTATGTTAAGATATGGATGTAATCCGCCCTACCCTGTGTAAAAGACAACAACGGCCAAAACGCTGCTCATGATGCCCTACCCCTGTCTTTGCGTTCCCCTTCAAATTTCAACGTCAATATCCAGGTCTAGTGACCCAATCACATCGTCATCCATCAGCGGCTTATGTATAGTAGGGATACCCTTCTCCTTGTGTTTCTCCTCCTGCAACTTTGCGAGATGAGGTAGTAGTTGAGATTTGACGGCCGCCTTCGGTGTGCTAGTCCCAGGAGTGTTGGTCCCGCTGCCGTTGGCCGCTGACTTTTGTTCCACCTTCTCGCTAGCGTCATAAACGAATTTGGCCTTGGTCCTAAGTCGTCTTGACATGTCGCCTTGGTAGGTTTCACCACGCTTGAGGGCTGCCTCGATCTCCTTCGACTTCGCTTTCTCCTTCAACTGGGCCTTTCTTACAGCTTCCGCGTTCAATCGCCGGTTCTCTCGGTTGCGCTCAGCCAGTCGATCTTGCTCAGTTTGGGCCTTAGGTACTTCGTTGTGCTTTGAGGAGCCCAGACTCGTCCTAAATGCTAAGCGTTGGGAACCAAGGTTGTCGAGCTCCTCCTGCAACTCTTCGGCCTTATCGTGCTCGCCATGTTGTCTTGCTTCCTCGAGTAAGTGGGCTATGCGTTCTCGCTCGGCAGGGTCAAATCGCCTTTTCAGCTCTTTTATCCGTGCAAGCCGAGCCTTGATTTCCTCTGTGGTCCATGAATGATTAATCAAGCCATTGATCTCATCAATTTTGTCCATAAGGTAAGTCTTGCTTGGGAGTGTCACGCCCTCATTATGGCATGTGACCTTGTATCGATTGAGCTCGTTCTATGGATCCGGTTCAGTAGAATCCAAGAATGCAGTTCTGGTGCAACATACCTCTGTGAACTTTCCGCTCGAGGCAGCGATGAAAGGGAACTCTTTGATTGCCTTACCATGCGCCGCCTTGACATACTGATCTGTGACGAATGCACCGTTGGGCCCCTGAAGAGCATATGGGCGACTGGTCGTGAAGCCTATGAAATTTGTCAGCCCTGCTGCTGTGCTGTGCTGTACTGATGGTTACAAACCTTTGATGGCTGCCATGCGATACTGCTCAATGCCACTTTCAGGATGCGGTCCAAGAGCAATACGTATATAACATCCAGTGATAGCCTGCTCGAATCCAGGAGTGAAGCAGACCTGAGCGAACTCGTTTCGCCCCAGTCGAACTCGTTCATAATCACGTAACTCAGCTGGCGGCTGATCGCGATTTTCGTCGGCATCTGGAGTTGGGGAGCGTCCGCGATTATAGTCATCGTCACTGTCTTCTGCCCCAGAGTTGCGTCTTCGTGGAGAGTAGTTATCCTTTCGTCTCTCGAGATCCTCCCGTCGACGCGCTTTCTCTGCCTTGGCTTGGCGTAAAGAGTCCATCGCGGTCTCCCTCTTGCTCTCTGTACGCGGCCGTGATGCCTTTCGAAGTCGATCGCCGTCTTCCAGCTCCGCAGTTCCAGCACTGCGCTTCTTTTTGACCTGTTTGCGCTCCTCATTCTCCATGTTGCTTACCATCTGACGCAGCAGGCGGTTCTGTCGCTGACGCTCTATGTCCGTCATACGCTCAGCGATAAGCTGCTCACGTTCGAGTTCTGGCAAGGCCATGATCTCTGCCTTTTCCTTCTGACTCTTGTATCGACCATCAATTGGGTATGCTTCATCGTCGTCCTCTGCAGCCGCTGCTCGACCTCGCGATGGTTCGTCGTCGGAGTCAGATTCATCCATAGG